AGAGTGAGGAGAGTGCTTGCGGAGTACATTGACCCTTACATGAAAGACAAGACTGTTCTTTTATTTTAATAAGGTTTTTTATTAATAACATTATTTATAAATGTGTACACAGTAAAAGGGAAAAAAATACCTTTGCTAGCTAAAAAAAAAAGGCTTAAAAAAAAAGTGATTCTCCATTTGTACAAAGTCTGGTGGAGTTAAAAATAAAAATGTTTACAGACTTCCTTTGACCAAAAAGTGCTGTGAAAAAAAAAGAAGCTCACTGCTTTACTGCTCCTCCTCATCCAGTGACCGCCTGAATGAATATGGAGGAGATTGTTGCTGTGGGGGTGTGTGGTACAGAGGGGTTTAATCTTGGTGTGGCCGTGTGTGGCCTTCGGGGTGGGTATGAGGGCACCTGGAAGTGTCCATATCCACTGTTGTTAGTATGAACTTGCATGAACTGGCTCATCAGGGAAAGGCCATTCTGTACAGTCACATTAATGTTGTCCATGGTGTTGTTCATACGATCCATGCTGGCTGCGCTGCGGCTGGTTGCTTCCTCCATTAAGTCCAACATCCGGCTTTTTAATCGCAGCTCTTCCTGCACCGCATGTTCAGCTGGAAGCTTCCTCTTCATGCGGTCACTTCTGTGGCCGTCCAGCCGTGCCTATAATAAACCAGAGAAAGTTTGAATTAATACACAATAGGACCATAGCCACCAGATAACAGAACACAAAAGGCATGTTGTGAAATAGCTCTCAATACATTTTACAAATAAAACAGCTCTAAATACTTTCTAATTTTACCAAGCTTAAACCGGTTCAGTTTTTCAGTGGAAGGTACTGCATCATAGTATATAGCAAGCCCTTTAAGATTGAAATCATGAACATACCTGGAGCAGATCCCTGCGATGACTCACAACCGCAGCAGTTGGCAGAGTTCCGTTGGATCTACTCGACTCTGGCAAATCCGTGGAATGCTCCAAACTCGGGGATGAACTTGGTCCGGGCGACGACTCTTCCATGTCGAACAAGTCCCCTTGTACCTGTTTTAGTTTCGCTGTAAGCTGGCCCTGTGAAATTGTGTTCTTCTCGTGAGGGAAATCTTTTTCAGTCGGGGTCCTCGGATATTGCGCCTGAAATAAGTCGGCTATCTCCGTATATTTAGGCTTGCAGGACTCCCAGTCTACATTATCCTGTATTTTTGTCGTCTTATACTCAAGTGTTACACTTAAAAGAAGTTCCACCTCGTCGTCGGACCACGAAAATAGCTCCTTTCTTGCGCGAATAACAGCCATCTTCGTTTGTTTGTTTTGTTTGTGCCTCACACACATCCGGGGGGGGATCTTATACTCGCTGCTTTTGGTGTATTTTGTGGCGGAAGTTACAGCGCCACTTACAGTCCCGCCATATGTACTACAGCTTTCGAGCGGTCTCGTGTGGAAGTACAGCGCCACTTACAGTCCCAGCATATGTACTACAGAGTTTCCAGCGGCCTCGTTTGAACAGACACGTTAAATGAAACAAATGCATGTGAACGGAAGACTTTTTTGAATACGAATACTGTGCATAAAACGCAAACGGCCTCGTGTGAGCGGGGCCTAAGAGTACTGATATGTCTACCCTTTCTTTTATGAGGGTAATATCTGCCTTTTCTCTTTTGGTTTGAATTGGAGAAGGGCAATGGTTATCGATGGTGCTTTGAAAGCCTATTGTATACTAATTGTGTGATTTATATTGCTTTTCAAATGCATATAGGCCACCCATTTACACTGCTCTTCCCATCAAGAATATGAATAGAACTTAGTTAGATCGCTTCACATTGAGTGGAAGAGGCATTTTCCCATTGGTCCCAGTCCAGTTGGTTCTTTTCACCATTCTTCCATATGTTACAAATGGCTGTCTAGCCCTGTTTGTTTTTTTGACCTTTCAGATGTTGTTGTATAGCCTCTGGAGCAGAAATGAAAGAGTTTTAAAAATGTTTACGTTTTGGTAAGTTTTTAGGGAAATGTTGTAATATTGCAACGTTGGCCTTAGGTGGGAGCAGAATTTCTGTATTTCTACTCACATTGTCTGAATAAATATATTGAACAACTAAGGGTAAATTTGCAGGATTGATTGCTTACTTAGCCCTATATCAGTATATAGCATGAATAATAATCACACATCAGTCATATTTGTTATGAATAATCATTTATCATTTATTAAATAGTAAGTCGCTTTGGATAAAAGCGTCAGCTAAATGCAATTATGAAAGCCTCACTCAGGATTTTTTTACCAAGTGTTTTTATTGCTCTTGGGGCATTAAAAACAAGATTTTAACTTTAGTTTTTTATATAATATCTGCATTTTCTCTTTTGAAAAACTAAGTCTTAGTTTGGCCATAGTTTGGCCACTCATTTTTAATCACACACGTCTCCCCATCCCATTCAAATTCTTGCCTGAAAGAGCAGTGTAGCCTTCAGAACATGTAAATGGGTGGCATTGCCTATATGCATTTGAAAAGAAATACATGTAGTACCTACCCCCCTCTGAGTGAATACCTGTTGACTTCACATCTTGCACTGTGATCTGCATGCACTTATCAAAACATTTAATTAGGAGCAAAACACACACTTCAAGTCAGATCATCACCCTTAGCTATTTTAATTACCTCTCAAACAACCTAAACTAGTTATAAATGTTTATTTTTACTGTCGGCCGGGTCACTCATTACTGGATCAGCTGCTGCCTGAGACAGACACTGAAAAGTATTATCATCTGAAATTAATCATTATGTTATTAGTATTAAATACATATAAGTATTTTTACAGCTTGTATTTAGAAATACTCTGTTGTAATTATTGATGCATACATGTGTTCATCCATTCAATGTGGCATTTAATAAACTGTTTATATTTTGGGAGTTTGTGGCTGAGGTTGCCACGAACTCCCAAAATATAAACAGTTTATTACATTTTCTTTTGATCAACTAATCAATGAATTGTACTATAGCACTACACAGTACAGTGGAGATAATCTAATCTGTTGCTCTTCTACTTATTTTGGGATCAAACTTGTTGTGTTCAAAATTCCAGGAAAGACAAACAACTTCTAAGTTGAACTATTTATTATAAGAGCAAAATATATATTACTTGGCCAAGGACTCCGTCAGGTCATAGAAATCACAGGCAGCAAAGCTGTAATCTGTAACCACTATTTCCGGAAAAAAGCCTCGAACCTTGTGCGTAAATACATTTTATTAAACAGGGCTCTGCCCCGACATTTATGATTGGTTGAGACTAGTTGGGGAGGGCCGTGGTTTAGACTTTGGCTTCCCTGGTTGGTGCACTGACTTAGACAAAGTCTCTTGGCAACACGACCTCCAATCAGCATTCGGCCAGCCTGTGAAAGTCCCTCCCTACTCTATCCGCTATGTCATTTGTTTTTTCTAAAGTTTCTACAGATATAGTGGAAAACCTTCATTATACTGGATCCCAGTCTTGCGTGGGAGCAAAGCTCCCACTCAACTCAAGGCCGGAGCGATGTCCTGTTCTGACTAACCCATTGACCTCTTACGGTGTCTGCTCCTGACCTTGCTACTTTGTATTGCAGGCTAAAACTTTCTTCTGTGACTTTTCCCTTCAAGTCCTATCCAACCCATCAAACCTCGGGATTGGTGATTTTGTCTATGTATTCCAAAGTCATAGCAACATTTAATGAGCACAAATAAGCATATAATATAATAATAAGAATCAGTATTGTAATGTTATATAAAAATAGACTCCACAAACTTAATATTCGTTTCAATATAGATTAAGTAATGACTATTTTTCAGATAAATAAATGAACTGTTTACACATTTAAATGTCAAGAAATATAGAAAAATCTCAATTTAAAGAGTCTAAGAGGAAATATTCAACTTGCTTCTTTAATCTGAACAACACTAAACAGTATTTGATATTAAATTATACAACAGAGAAAAAAGTCTTTATTTAACCAATTTCACTTAAACACTGACTCTATCTTCTCCCTCGGTGATGCTCACAGTAGGGGTGCATACCGGTCCCCGGTACTACCGAAATACCGGTTACTGGCGGCTACGGTATACCGTACCGAAATCAGATCCGGTTTTCGATACTCACATTTTTTGTTTTAATAAAGTGAGGGGTAATATCCTTAAACTCGCACCCAAACCACCAGCCAATCAGATTGCGCGTCTTGCAACGGCTTCGGTGATTGGCTTGATTGCCAAGCAATCACCTTCCTCCCGAACGTCTGAGCCTTTCGGTTAGCTTTCGTTTTTTCATTAGCTATATGTCGGCACGAAAATCTTAAGTGTGGCTGCATATGACTGCCAGTCTGAATGGTGGGGTCTGTAACCACTGCCAGTCTGAATGGTGGGGTCTGTAACCACTGCCAGTCTGAATGGTGGGGTCTGTAACCACTGCCAGTCTGAATGGTGGGGTCTGTAACCACTGCCAGTCTGAATGGTGGGGTCTGTAACCACTGCCAGTCTGAATGGTGGGGTCTGTAACCACTGCCAGTCTGAATGGTGGGGTCTGTAACCACTGCCAGTCTGAATGGTGGGGTCTGTAACCACTGCCAGTCTGAATGGTGGGGTCTGTAACCACTGCCAGTCTGAATGGTGGGGTCTGTAACCACTGCAAGAAGTTTATTTCTGGGAAAGGCGGCAACACATCCAACCTCTCAAAACATGTGCTACTGTCACATAAAATCAGAGTACAGGAATATACAGTCTTCAAGCCTGTGTTGTCAAACGCGTTTTTCATTGTTTGTTCAGTACTAAAAGGTCGAAGTCCCACAATTAATTTTAATATTCATTTGACATGTTAACTATATCATAAAGCACTTCATGGGAGTCATTGCGGGATGATTACATTTTTCCCTTATGCAACATGAAAGTATCACGATATGTATCGGTCGAGTATCGGTATCGTTCAGTGGTATCGGTATCGTAAAAAAAGTCAACGATATGCATCCCTAGCTCACAGTACATCATAATTCCATGTAGTGATATTACTGTGAGTCAATAACCTCTAAAGTGTGTTTGTGCAGAGATCCCCTCAGTGTCTCTGCTCCAGAAGTCCCCCTCCTCTCCAGTCAGCTGCCACGCTACAGGTTTCTACCCGGACAGAGCCCTCATGTTCTGGACCAGAGACGGAGAGGAGCTTCACGACAACGTGGACCACGGAGAGATCCTGCCCAACCACGACGGATCCTTCCAGATGAGCGTGGACCTGGACGTCTCCTCATTCCCCGCTGAACACTGGGACAAGTACCGATGTGTGTTCCGGCTCTCTGGGGTGGAGGAGGACCACGTCATCGTACTGGGCTCAGCTGTGATCAGGACCAACAGAGGTAAGACTGCATCACAACGGCTCAACGGTTACTAACAATCAACAGACCCTGACAACATGTCATAGTCTCTCTCTCCTGAAACATGGGTCTCAGGGGAGAGAGACTAAGAATGGTTCAAGACAAACCCAGCATGACACCACGAGGAGAAAGGGGCCCTTCAGGAGCCTCAGACCTGATGCCCATCCTGAAGAAGCTTCCTTCCTCCGTTCAGATTGAGACTTCCTGTTGTTTCTGCTCCACAGGGAATCCCCTCCTCCTCTTCATCATCATCGGTGCTGTAGTGGCTGCTCTCGCTCTCCTCATCATCGCTGGGATTGGATTCCTGGTTTACAGGAAGAGGAACGGTGAGAGACCAATCAGAAACCTTGTCTCATGAGTTCTCAGGGTTGTTAATGTAAGGCTTTGAGGTAGCAGATCAAACTCATAGCTCAGTGTAATGTGGATATGGAAAGCACTTGGTGTGTTTTCTACAGGGATAATCATTGTGGTCTAGTTCCTTGTTGTGTACGGGGCGGTGGATTGAAACACTTTCTCTGCTTTTCCTTTCAGCCAATAACAACACTCCCTCTCCTGCCTCCGGCTTTGAGCTCACTGAGAGACTGAACCAGCCATCACAGTGAGGTGCTTCACATCAACTCTCCACCTGTTGTTACAGAGCTGCCCTCTTTATTAGGACTGTTGAAATTAATCGGTTCTACAATGCATTGCGATGCAGACGTGGACGATTCTGCATCGATGCAGTGACAGAACATAATCGATTAGCGTAGTGACGTTGCTTCTGGATTTTCCGTTAACTCACAGCAGAGTCTCCCGTTAACTCACAGCAGCTGGAAAGTATTCTCTGTCTGACTGTCATACAGCAGCTGATAAATACCCCCCCCCTATGAATTGACGCTGTTTGGCTTCACAACGCTGTTATGAAAGTTTCTCTGGTATAAAATGGGTTATGTTAGCTTAGCAACCGAAGCTAAACTGACTACTTGCTATTGCTATCCTATTGTGGCATAAGCCGTTTTCTACAGGCACATTTTACCGGCGTATTTTTCATTATGATTCTACTTGTGATAGTCGGACATGACAACCTGTGCAGCCCATGTATTGATTCCATCCGATAGCTGCTATAATACAAAACAAAACGTCTGCCTGCTCTCCACAATGATCAATAACAGCGAACGGATGGTCAAAGTAAGGTACAAATAAACAGAATCACACTAAGTAAGGGATAATGTGCAGCGAGACGGTCATTATGGGTAAAAGAACACCCTTCTGATCAGGATCCCGACGCGAAGCGGAGAGATCTTGATCAGCATGAAGGGTGTTCTTCATAATGACCGCCTCGCTGCACATTATCCCGCTTATTACAAGGCCACATTCTCAACAAAGTAACGATATGACTCCCAATATTAATTGAAATGATTTTATAGATTTAGAAATTGTTTTTATTGATTTAAAAAATCGGATTATTGATTTAAATTTAAAATGACATGCATCCGCTAAGAAAAATAGTCCGTTGTTACCATTTAAACTACGTAGCAACGGCAGGAACTGCTTCGATAGCGTTTTTGAGGAGCTTTTTTATTAAAGATTTGAAAACATCGCTACTTGCTTTAAAAGTAGCACAATTCATTATGTCAAACCTTGGGAAGTATCTAGATATCCCTGCCCTAATGCCAAAGGAACTGCACACTGAATATGTTTTGCCGTTTGATGTCTATGTCTGGACCGCTGCATAAAAAGGACCGCAGCTCCATGTTGAGGGTTTCTGCCCCGTTACTTCTCCGCTGTTTTCTTGTCCCTCTTGTCTTTTTATTTTCTTCACTGGAGACTCATCAGCCACTAACCATTCATCCAAATGACTGTGCTCTCCAAATATATTAAAATTAATATTAAAATCCTCCATGTTGCTCTCAGACGGGCAGTGGCGGTTCTACGGGGGTGGCACGGGGTGGCAGCTGCCACCTCAGAAAAATGCCTTGCCACCCCAGCTGCCACCCCAGTTGGCAGCTTTGTTTTGAAAGAAAAGTTGTGGCTCATCGGACATTTATGAGAGAAAATCTTGAATGTCCGAGTGCAAGTGAATGCAGCACAAGACGCGAGCCTTGTAACCCCTCCCCCGGCCCTGGCACGAGCGTGGAAATATGATTGGCGGCGATTTCATTTGAACGGGGGGACAGCGCAAAACGAGAAGCATTTCGGATCCAAGTAGACAGAAGGAATGAGGTATTTGCGGTCTACAATGACAGAGAAGAGACTGTCAAGTTTGGCTGTATTCAGCATTGAATCAAAACACACTAAAGCTTTAAATCTTATAAAGTTTGTGAGGCGTTTTGCTGAACAAGATGGTAATCGCCACATTCAGCTGTTATAGTCATGCCAACTTGATGCTCTGCTCACGGATGATTCGATGAGCATAATAAACTGTTAAGATGATGACCTTACGTGTGTATAACATACAGCATATATCAGTTTCAAGTCCTGAGAAAGTCGAATAAGACGGTGTGTAAAACTACACTGCCCAGCCAAAAAAAAGTAACCACTTTGATGTAACTAGGCCAGTAGGTAAGGGCTTTCCACTGGATAATAACTGCAGCGATGTATATGTTTTAGCTGAATACACATTTTTTAACCCTAACTGATGCAGTTAGTCACTTCTTTAATGTTTGTTCTTTCTGATGTAAAGTCCAGGTTGTAACTGTTTGCAGTAAAGTTGTGGGGCGCTGAACTGTTCCTTTGATTCTTTTGATATATGATAGTAATTACTTGTCTTTCAAATTTGAAGGAGGGTGAGCAAGCATCTTGAGGAACATTCATCATTAACTCCTCCAAAATATATAGTTTATTCAATAATAACACTGAATATGTGAATCATAACAGTGATTGACAGCTGATAGGAATAATATGATTGTTAATAGTATCATATTAATTTAGACAAACATCGACGAGACAGTTAAAGGTGGGGTAGGTAAGTTTGAGAAACCGGCTCGAGATCGCTAGAATTAGAAAATACACAACCGGAAAAAATCTCCCACTTCCTTACAGAGCCCCTCCTCCAACACACACGAACGCGCACATGACCAATGAGGGCACGAGATAAGTTTGTGCACAGATGGAAGGCTGACAGGCAGGTAGGCCATCCAGTTATTTTAGCCAGGCCGGCTCAGATGATTGGTCGTGCTTTTTACAGTACTACGGCTTCCACAGATGACATTTCTTTATGGATTTTTTGTCAAAGCACTTCAGATATTCATTGCTATCGGGATGTTAAGAGCATTCCATGGAATATAACAAAAAGTGTATCTCGAGCTGGTTTCTCAAACTTACCTACCCCACCTTTAATTAATGTACTTATTGCAGCAGTCTGCATAGATTTGGTACCCCTGCTGGTCTAAGAGTGAGACAAACTCATTCAGTTATTGTTCAGTTAAAATTAATTCAATTATGTCTGCCACCTTATATATTTATATTTAAAGGAGAGGTGTCATGGCCATTTCCACTGATCATAATTCCATTGTTGAGGTCTACTAAAATAGATTTATACTGTGCATTTTTCCAAACTCACATTGGTTTCTCATACAGCATCTCTGTAAACTACGTGTATTCACTGAATTTCACTCTCTGCCTTTAACGGCTCGTTGTAGCTCCAATAGCTCCAGCCCCCACCCTCCCTGTGAGCACAGTGTGCTCTGATTGGTCGGGACGTTGTGAATCGCGCTGAGCTCCGTGGAGGTGTTGTTTCCTTGTTTAGCATACACAGCCAAACACAGCCAAACTCATCCTGAGCACACACACACTCACAGCCGAAGTAAAAACAATAAGTGTGGCTTGATATTGAGTAAGAAAAAGGTTGATAAACGCTGTGAGAATGGGTCTGCAGAGAGAATGGGTCTGCAGAGAGAATTTTGCCGCGATCCCAACTGTCTGTTATCAGCCTGCAGCCAGGGAGGAGAAATCAGCAGAGCTGTCTGTGTGTGAGGAAGTCCGTGGATTGGTCAATTTGGACCAATCAGCGGGGGCTTAACGTAACGGCTCCGCGGACGTAACGTAACGGCTCCACGGATTGGTCCATTTCGTTCCGGGTACGGGGTTACGTCACCCCGTACCCAGAAGAATCAAATGGACAATGACGTATCTCCAACGAGGCGTTTTGGGGAGGTATTTTCTGTGTTAGAGTTTTACTCGCTACAGGGTGTACTTTGAGGGTTTTGACTCTGCACACCATTTACATGCATAAAAACCTTCATAACACACAAGGGGACGGGTAATAACCGGAAAAGCATGACACCTCTCCTTTAAGGCTTTACTGATGTGCCACAATAATGTCACCAAATGTTATTGAGTTAAAATATAAATATTGTGGCTTTCCAAGTTAACATTAATTGATATGACTGCGATTAAATCAGCATATACTTCTGCCAGGGGATGCCACCCCTGAAATTCTCCTGCCACCCTCTTGCCACCCCATGAATATTTTTCTAGATCCGCCCCTGGACGGGAGACAACGGAAAACTAAAGACAAGCAAACAGTTTGAAAAGCAAACTGCATGCAGTTTGCTTTTCGGCCAAACTGTATACAGTGAAATCGACCGGACTTCTTTCTGCAGATGTGAGCGTCCTTAACAACAGTCAATAAATCCTTGACAGTGGTCTGTACTACTGGATTAACAACGTGTCACGTGTTCTGAATTGACCAATCAGAATTGAGTATTCAACGAAGCCATCTAATAAGCCTGGTTAGTGTTGCCTGACTTTATAAAGTGTGTTTTTTTGGCCCTGGAACCGGTTTGGTGGAAAGGGGCATGGGTGGTGTTAAGAGGAGTTTGTGTTATCTAAATGAGTGATCTTGTTTTCCCTTTCTGAGCTTTTCTAAATGAATCAGAAGTGTCTTTATTTATAACATGTCTCTTGAATTGGTTTTAAAACATAATAGTGTGTGATTTTGATAATGTTGCTATGATTTAGGGACAGGGAGGTTTTGTGTACAGAGCCAGCGGACTGTGACGTTCTCTTTAGTTTGGGGTTCAGAGGTGAACGTGACATGAAGTCGCTCTGCATTGTTAACCCTTTCCTGTCCGTGTTTCACTTTCCAATAAAAACCCATCTCCCAAATGTCCGTCTTCTCGTCTTTCCATCAACACATGTATTGGTTTCTACTAGCGTCTCAGACACTAGAGGAAAGTGGATTTGATGTGAAACTAAAGATTCAATGGTTTACTGCTTTCTAAAAAGAAACAAATTAAAATGTTCTCTAATGGAGGAACATGTAACAAAATAAAGTAACTCTGAGTGATGTATTGATCTCTCTAATGTGTGTGTTATCAGTGTGTGTCGCTGCACTCAGCTGTTCTCAGAGCTCCTGCTTCAGAAACCTGTTGAGGTGAAATCTGCCCGGCAACTGATGGCGTTACCATGACGACTGGGAATAATACAGTTCTGTGTTGTTAGGAACATTTAGTGAGGCTCAAACATTACCTTTGGGTTTCCATTGATCTGAAGTCATTTCCATCAGAGACACTTTCACTTACAAACTCAATCACATTTAGAAACCAGTCAATACTTCCTTTAGTTATATAATCTCTTTTTTTTACATTTTTCAGAATTTTGACAAAAACAAAAATTGAATTATAAAATAAATAAATTGGACTTTCAAAATGTGGACTTTTTCAATAATGTAGATCATTTTTTTTAAATGTTGACTTGATTTTTTTTGTGACTTTTTGATTTTTTTGTGACTTTTTTCCCATAATGATTTCTTTCCTGAATTTGGACTTTTTTCTGAATTTTGACTTTTCTCAGAATTTTGACTTTTTTTCTAAATGTTGACTTTTTTCCCAGAATTTTGAATCATTTGAATTTGAATGGATTTTTAATCACAGTAAAAAATGTATATAGCCTATATTTCTTGAAATAGAATAAATGATATGTTGTAATATACATGTATGTGATAAAAGACCCAGTTTTTGCATTGTATGTGTTATCATGGTTTTATATTTCTTCATATTTTTATGAAGATGACTTGTTTTGAAACAAATATCAGAAACAACCAAAAAGTGACAAAAGCAGAAAGAAATATCTGATCTCCAACAGAATGAAAGTTCAGGTTGAATTACAGCTTAAAGTGGACCTATCATGCTATATTTAAATGATATATTGTAGGGCCATACCTATATAAGGTATATTTATACGTTTCTGTTTTCAAAATACCAAACAGATCATGCATTTTAGCCATGCCTCATTTCGCTCTATGTGCTGTTTGCTGTCTACGGGTCTGATTCTGCTGACCACGCCCCCCTGCAGGAGAGGGGAGACGTGCTCTGATCAGCTGCTGGGCTGTCAGAAGAGGGGGAGAAAAAGAGATCTCCGTGTTTTATTATATAGAGTCGTTATTCATTTGTTTTAAAGCTCAATAAATAACAAAGAAGACCTTTGACCGGCACTTTTCGAATTTTGTCCGGAAGATTTAAACTTTAACGGACATCTTGACCGGCGAAACAAACTGAAACTGAAACTCTGCCGCACGGTCCCCTCGTTCCTTGGAAGAGGCGGAGAGGTGGGTGTTTGTCATCTGCTGGTGGGCTAACCGGAGAGAATTACAGTGCTTGCCTCGACGGGGAGGGATTGCATTGAATTAAAGCAGCGGGAGCAAACGCTTGCCTCGGGAGGGAGAAAGAAAGCCACAGCGGAGAATAAACAGAAGGGTAACCATGGTAACTATGGGCGGGAAGTCTTCTTCGCTGCTTTTGTGGCAGACTACAGCGCCTCTTACAGGCCTGGCATATGTACTACAGCGTCTCCAGTGCTTTCGAACGGCAATGGCCGTGGCTGTCTCCTCCTGATTGGTGGAGTTGGCCCAATAGCCGTAGCGCCACCGTCCTGACGTCAGGACAGTGTTCAGATCTGGATCAGTTTTATCAGATCCGTTGCAGCCCCTTTTTTAGAGATTTGGGTATGGAGGAAAATAGAGAGGGTTGTGTTTTCTGACACTTGGTGAGTTCCCTGGAACACCGGGGACACATATTCATGTATAAAAGACGTACAAAAGTGCATTTTGCATGATAGGTCCCCTTTAAGGTAAACTGTTGCAGCTTAACACTCCTCCGGACTGCTGAGCTTTAACACAGAAATTAAATTAACTTGAACCCTATAACGCCAAGTGTATCATATTTGATACATGAGTTTCTGAGACCTCTACGTCATCCAAATGACTAGTACGTTCCTAAAAGACCTGTTGTATGCAATGTGATACATGTCTTCTGTCCTCTGGTGGATCATCCGGGCACTGCAGGCTGTAGCGACATCTTTGCCAATATTGAATAAATTACGGTAAAAATGACTTTTATATTGTTACTGATATTTCACTATGAATATTTACTGTATTGAAACAACTTATAATCAGTTTATATTTTGTAGCTTATTTCATAGAAAAATCGTGTTGAAAATGTATCAAATAGTATACAGCAGGTATCTGAGTACATTTCTCTGGAAATAATCAGTGTCATTGTAGTACATTTCATGATGCAATCTGCATTATGCTTACCACAATGCCAAAAACACTGTTTAGATTATTTAATTAAACTTTGAGATATTTACGTGTTTATTTGGTAACCCGGTCATTCTGTAACCCGGTGAGTTTGTTGCAATGACTCACTTGCTAATAATTGCCACAACTTATTGATTTTTTATTAAAACAATTCCTTGGCTATTATAATCTATGTTATATTGACCAAGTCAGAGAGTACAACATCATTTGTGTTTGCATGTACTTTTAGATGGCAAAGAAATACTCTGTATTTATATAGCCTGTTGGTTCGGGTTGTTCAAAATCTTCCAAATGTAATAATCAATATTTGTTTTTGTTTCAAAAGGAGACGTTGTGTTGTTCAATAAATTGCCATAAACGCCTGACGTATCAAATATGATACAAAAAAAAATCATATATGTAAATAACAAGCGGCAAACTCTGGGGAAGAGCCGGGACGCCAATACGGAAGTGCCACAAACTGCAGTTCATATATTGGCCGATAGGCGATGACTGCAGAAAGGAGCAATTTCCATAGACCCCCATGTTAAAATGCCCAATTTCACAGCAGAAAAAAAACGTTTCTAGCCCTGGATGCAATAAATATTATTATGTATATAGTTAGATTCCACCTTCATGATGATGAATCTGTGAGTGAATTGTGTTCTAACGCGACCCTTTTATTTATATTAGGTCTTAAAGTTTTTGCATAAATTAGGGCGTGGTCACATTGAGTGACAGCTCTGTCAAGTGACTGCTGCTGTTAGCTTCTTGTCTCTCTGCTAGCTGCTCCGTCTCCGTGAAGCTACAGGGACTCTCTGCCTGGTCAGTTCATCCAGGGAACACAACTTGACCCCGGCCGTCTTTGTTTGTTCTTCTTGCTTATATATCGGACTATTGTGACTCGCTCTGCGGTTAAAACAGACGGTGCATGAATGCCGTTTTGCGGTAAGTGAAATTCGAGTACTTTATTTATGTGTTTATGATTTCAATCAGCTACGTAATGAATGTTAAAGCTTGGGTTAGCGTGTAAGCGAGTGGTAGCTACATCGGTGCTACCGATGCTAATCTTAGCCTCCAAGTTAACTTAAAACCATAGACTGTATATATAAAGGTTAAAACGAAATAGACAAGTGTTAAGCGTTAAGTGGGATAATACTGTAGAACAAAAGGCTTCTGTTTGAGGTTGATAAAATAAGGTCATCCTTGTAACTTAGAGAGATATTTTATTATGTAGGTAGGAACTGTATGCATGCTAAGGTTAATTTAAATTGGCTATGCTCAAGTATGTAGACAAGCTAATGTCGAAGTAGTGTAGGCTATGTGAAATCAACCTCACAATAAGATGTGTGTATATTACAATTATTAATGTCATATTTCAAGATGATTACTTAGATATTACAATATGGTTGGTTGAGCTGGAGTTCATTATTGAGCTTACACGTTAACATCACAGTCATCTGAAGAACGAACCCAAACATTGTTGTTTTTATTAATTGCATTACCAAATTGGTATCAAATAAACAGTAAGCATTGGTAACACAACTTCCAAAGTTACAGTAAAATAAAAAGGACCCTGACTCGGACAATACACAATCCAACATGTTCAACAGAAGAGAATAAGTTATATTGTTTGTACACATGGTTCTTTACATATATATCTGTTTGTTTAAAGTGTCCAGGTGATTCGACAGGCTGGACCAGAGAGTGAGAGACAGAACTGGACTCCTCACAGCAGTGAACTTCAGCACAGGTACAAATACTCTTTTTTCATACTGTACAAAGAATCAAGAAAGATATTGGTTTAAATAAATGAAGTATTGACTTTAATACACTGCTATACATTCCATTAAACAATACTAAATACTAGATCACCTACACATCAGTGAAGTTGAGGGTTTTTTCCATGCAAAGGGTTACATTTAGATGTTAACAAGCAATATGACTGTCAGCTTTCTAATTTAATGTATTGAAGGCAAAGATATTTAACGCATAGTGACAACTGCTATTTATCTCTCAATATTGTCTGTAAAAACGTGGTAAAAGTTATTCTTTCAGTGAGACAACAGAGCAAGCTTGTTTTAATAACAGTTAAATATTATTTTGATAATAAAATACATTTCAATGTTGATGAATTTCATACTGTTCATTCATAATCTGATTGTCTTTGTAGCTCACTGTTGAAATAAAAAAAAACATTACAATTACAAAATAATTATATCTACAGCCCCTAAACACAAGCACACCTCATTCATAAATAACACACTTGTTCTGCAATAATATGTTTTATGTTTCCTGTAATTTTTGTTAGGAAAGGACATGCCTGAAAGACACGACTCAGCATCTCCTCTTTCTCCGAGGGTCAAGAAAAACATCCAATAGGAAAATTAAAAGCTGATGTTATGAGATGTTAAGACCAGGACAGGACATTCACTAAGAAACTACTTTTATTGTGAAAACACAGTCAGCTGATCGAATGCACCTATTTCCACATCTACACTCCATCAGCTGATTATTTCTATTTGCCTCACTTCATGAGCTTCACAACATGTACCTTGTACCGCAGAGTTTGCAACGCAAATAAATGGGGCCAATCTTCAGTCGGATGTGAATGTGTAATCTAACATTTTCAGTAAGAATAATGGACAAAAGGAGTGCAAATTCAATTTATTGAAATCTGAACCAAAAGTTAATCAAACATGTTTTAAATAAAAAGCACATATGGACAGAAGGTGTAAACATATTAAATGTATAAGTAAACACATTTAGTCAAATAAAGTGACAGACAAGGCCTGATCAGGTGGTATCAGCTATGCCCAGCATGGGCTCCTCCATCAGGCCTGGTCCTCCTCGCTGAGGAAAGACCCTCAGTCTTCTCCAAACCAACAGACTGGACGTCCATCACACGGAGGTTTCTCCCTGAAGTCTCTGCAGCTCTCTGGACACCACGTTGTCTCAATCCATCCACACTGAATATGAGAGGGGAAAAATGAAAATAATAAATGCTTTAGACAATAAGAAATATAAAGTTGACTGTTGAG